GTTTGAGACGTCTGCAGGGTCTGACGGTGGAATCCTGATCCACCTTCAGTACCTGGGTGAAAGACAGACTTTCACCCCTGTTCAGATTCTGGCTATGCTTTTATCTCATTTAAAGCAGCTCACGGAGAAAAATCTTGAGACACGGGTCGAGAACTGTGTGATCGGTGTTCCTTCTTACTACACGGCCAACCAGAGGCGCGCGTATCTGCAAGCGGCTGAGATTGTGGGCCTGAAGCCCATGAGGCTGATGCATGAATGCACGGCTATCGGGCTTGAATACGGTATATACAAGACGGATTTTTCCGGGAGGGGCCCGACGAATGTTGTCTTTGTGGATATAGGCCACAGCGATACCCAGGTCGCTGTGATCTCGTTCGAGCCTGGGCACATGAAGGTGCTGTCCCATGCATTTGACAGCAATTTAGGAGGACGGGACTTTGATGAGGTTTTATTCCGACATTTTGCCGCTCAATTTTTGGAACAATACAAAATCGACGTTTGTTCGAGTACAAGGGCTTCCATAAGGCTGAGGGCCGCGTGTGAGAAGCTGAAGAAGGTCCTGAGTGCGAACCCGGAGGCCCCTCTCAACATTGAGTGCTTGATGGATGAAAAAGATGTTAAGGGATATATTAAGAGGGATGAGTTCGAGAGGCTGGCATCCGGGTTGCTTGAGAGGATCGGGATTCCTTGTCGTAAGGTTTTGCACGAATCTAGATTGACAGTGGATAAGATTCACACGGTGGAGCTTGTCGGGTCGGGTTCGCGGATACCGGCTGTTACGAAGATTCTGAACTCGATATTTCGGAAGGAGCCTGGACGGACGTTGAACGCAAGCGAGTGCGTGGCCCGTGGTTGTGCAGTTCAGTGTGCGATGCTTAACCCTGCTTTCCGAGTGAGAGAGTATGAGGTTTGTCCTCTGGCTCCTTTTTAAATGAATACTTCCCGTGAAGTAATCATACTTAAGTGTACTCTAGAGGCACATTTTATGAATGTGTCCAGAAAATCCTTGTTTCTACATTTTTATGTTTATAAAAAAAGGGGATTGGTGGTCTTGTCTTCTAAAATCCTAATTCCGTTATTATGTGGTATCTCAGTCTGTGATGGTGGCCTGAGATGATATAAGACGTTTTGAAACTTTAAATCTCGTTATGCTAGATCATAGTATGGGGCCTTAAGTTCACTAACGAACAAGACTGGTAGATCCAGAATTATTTCTATGATTTGCTACAAGGTGCTGAAAAATCATAATTAGGTAAAAGTGATTTTATTGACCAGTAATGAAAATCAAAGACTCAGTGCAGCTACCTTCAAGAGTTTTTTCCTTTTCCTGTATGTCAGTTCTTAAAAATCTTCATCGTGGTGCTGTAACTTTCATGCTTGAAACGTCGTGTATATGCACTTCTGGTGCTCATAGGCCAATCTTAAATTTATGACTTCGAGACAACTAACTGGTGTTTTTGATTTTATGAACCTTATCAGTTATCATCTTATTTTCAGTACCCTAGTGGTTGTTATATGAAGTTAGTGACGGGAATCACTAAGGAATTACTGGATTCATGAGAAAAAGGAATGTGCTATTACACGCCACCACTTTTGGTTTTCAATTTGTTGTGGTGGGTCCCAGCAGGGGAAATTGTTTTTAGACAAAATTGTGGGCTATGGTCTTGCTCGTATCAAAAAAAAAAAATAAAATGATAGTTCTCTGGATCAACCTATAATCATGGCAAACTTTTATCTCAACATTTCCCTCTGACTGACAGTATTCTAAATAAATATGTACACCTCTCGTTGTCAGGTGCAGGATTGTTTCCCATTCTCAGTTGCATTTGCATCAGATCATGGGCCTGTCTGCTCATTGGCAGGTGGAGTGTTGTTTCCTAAAGGCAGTGCTTTTCCAAGCATGAAGACGCTTACTTTCAGAAATGAGATATTTCACATGGAAGCCTTCTACTCGAATCAGAATGAGCTGCCTCCTGGTGTCTCGCCAAGAATTAGCTCTTTTAAGGTTTGTACCATCAATCATTTCAACATTTACAGTTTGGTACTATATTTGGAAGTACTAGAAAAACTGGGGTAAGAATTGAGCAAATTAGGTGCTTGTTAACTACCGCAATGACAACCATATACCGACCAGCCTCTGCCCCCACCACACACACACCCAAAAAAGAAAAAAAAAAAAAGGAAAACAAAGGGAAGGGGAAAATACTAAGAATAGAATGCATGGATGACTATTTCCTGAGAAGTATGAGCTGCATGGTTCATGAGAAGCTGTTGGTCATTGAATGTGCAAACCTTTAGTTTAAGTTGGATTATCTACATATCTTTAAGTTCTGCGACCATTACCACTCTGCTATGCCTTAGTCGGAAAAGGATACATAAACTCAGTGATTAAATTTTGGGATTGATTGCTACCACAAACGTATTTGGCTTGCTGAATTGTGCACATCGTGCTTGTCCAAAATAATGGCAACTTTAATAATCTGTGTAGCTTTGGATCTTCAACATTGTTAAAGACTTAAATCACTTTGAACTGTGAACATTGTTTACCAGCTGACTCTATGAACTTTAGTCAGATGATGACATTATTTATTGCTTTTGTTTAATGGGATGTGGAGGTGCCGCATATAGATAAGGTTTGATTTGTTGAGTTCTTTCTGTATCTGCATTCAGGACTTGTGTACTCTTTTATATTCTCATCTGAACATCTATAGGTAGCATCGTTGGGCTTTGTTGTACTTAGTATTTCGTCTTATAAAATGCTCTTCTTTTCAGATCGGACCGTTTAGGGTCTCTCATGTAGAGAATATGAAGATAAAGCTTAAAGTTGTGCTAAACATCAACGGGATTGTCTCCATAGAATCTGCCTCTGTAAGCATGGATTTTATTTTAGTCAATTTGTGTCTCAAGTTAGAAGCTTTTACCAATTTTTGTTTGGGACTTTCTCTCTGCAGCTGATAGATTATCATGCGAATGAGTCCAATGTAAACAACAACATCGATACGCATTCTGAAAATTTGGAGCAAATCAATAGCGAGTCCTTTGACAAAGCAAATGGTCATTTAGTAAGTCTACTACAAACACAGTCTGAAAGGTTCCTTGGGTAAATTGCAAGAGAAAATGTATATATGTTTAGTTTTATTATCTATTTGACTCTGTTCTGTTATGTTGCCCTGTTTTTTTCCCGGTTTCTTTCTCAATGAAATTGCCAAGACTATACCAAAAAAAAAAAAAAAAAAAAAAAAAAAAAAAAAAAAAAAAAAAGAAAGAAAAAAAGAAAGAAATGCTGTTTTACTTTAATTGGGAGAGACTGTGGTTTTGCATGAATAACTTCATGGCTTATTTTCTTGAAAATTTGCGTCTTCCCTCATGCAAGTAAACCAGAACATTGTTATTCATAGAGAGGTGTTAGAAAATGAGTTTGGTACAAACAAAGATATATACCTTCACATCATTCAACACCATCATGATTGTTGTTTTATCATTTATGCTCTCACGGTTCAAGCAATAAATTGATTATTTTACAGAATTGGGTCTTGGTCTCCTCATGGTGTTTTTTTATTTATTTATTTCATGGTACTATAACATAACACCATATAATTTTTGCTTCAAGTGTAAAGGGTCACAGTATTATATGGTTCCTTTCATAGAGAATATTTATGGGCATCTATTTAAGTCATTATTAATTATTAATGCTCTGAGAATGTGCATTAATAGTTTGGCAGCCAAAAAATTATTGCCGTTATCCGAAGTATATGCAGATGATTCTATGTATGAATTTTTCAAAAACATTTCAGTGCCTATGAACTCTCCGAAACTACTACCTCCTTTTGCAGGGTCATGAAATTAGAAGGTTAAAAGCTATTAGAAGGCAGGATGTTTTTGTTGATGAGAATGCATATGGTGGAATGACACAGTCGGAGCTCACACATGCTCAAGAAAAAGAACTTCAGTTAGCTCAGCAGGACATTAAAATGGAAAGGACCAAAGATAAGAAAAATGCCCTAGAGGCCTATGTTTATGAAACACGGAATAAGGTTTGTTGTTTTCCCATTTTTGTGTAGTTGCTTCGGTAGCATACAAGATGACGGCCACTATTTTCTCTGTAAATGAAATTGCATTTCCAACAGCTTGTGTTTATTACACATTGAGCATTGCCAACTTTTACGAGAGGTAGGTGATGTAAATGTGTAAAGGCAATTGCCATTCGTTTTGTTTTGTGAAGTACAATATTTCTCCATCTGCACATATGGTTGTCATGTTGTCCTTTATGGAATAATAAACAAGCGACCATAGTTTATTTGCCAAAAGTTTCAAGTTGCTAAGGGCTAATTATACTTGCGACTTGTTTTGATCTCCGAAACCTACCCCTTTTATACGTGTTTAACTGTCTAATCTTGGTCTAATGCTTTTACACTATTCGTTCAATTTTTTACCTCCAAAGATTTTGCAATTTAATGTTTTATGTTGTGACTTCTGAACATCTGTGCAGCTTTTAAATACTTACCGGAGCTTCGTTACTGATGCTGAAAAAGAAGGGATTTCAAGTAACCTGCAACAAACTGAGGAATGGCTTTATGAAGATGGAGATGATGAGTCTGAATTTGTGTATGCTGAAAAGTTAAAGGATTTGCAGAAGGTTTGTTTATCTTGTTTGTCATCTTCTTGTATTAACAATTCTTCTTTTATTGATTTTGCATAAAATGTTTGCCAGATGATGGATCAAATTGAATATCGATATAAAGATGGAGAGGCCAGGGCAGTTGCAACGAGACACCTACTAAATTCTGTAGTGGAGTATCGCATGGCTGCAAGTTCACTTCCCCCTGCTGAAAAAGACGCAGTACGAATTAATTTTCTTCTTTCTTATTATAGTTACTCTTTAATTACAAATCCTGTTCAAATGTTTCTTGAGAAAATACTATATTATCTTTTTTTATTTTATTTTTTTTTTAATTTTAATATTTGAAGGTTATTGGAGAATGCAATAAAGCAGAGGAGTGGCTTCGAGAAAAAACCCAATTGCAGGATTCACTTCCCAAGAATGCGGATCCTGTACTTTGGTCTGGTGAGATCACAAGAAGAGCTCAGGCCCTTGATGAGTAAGTCTGACAACCATTCGACAACTGTGAATATTTACCTTCATTCAAGCACAACTTGTACATTATTAGTTCGACTCTAGTTCTTAGTTTTTGGACTGAAACTAGCCATTGCCTAGATAGCGAGAGTTCATCTACTCGTTAGGTATTTACCTGGAGCACTATCTTAGTTTGATCCGCTTGGAGAATTTTATGTTTTTTCATTATATGCCTACATCTTACTTATTTTATGTAGAATGTATTTCAGGACGTATAAACGTGTGGTGGGTGGAAACAAGTCCCCGTCCCCACAACCAGATGCTGCTAGAGAATCGGGCACACGAAGTAACAGAGACGACATGGACGTCGATTAACGTGAAGCGAACGATACTTTGATATGTGGAGCTAGTTCGAAGGAACTGCTCGATTTTATTACAATTTTGATGTGGGCGTGTCTTTCTATTTCAATGCGCAGCAACTGCCTCCGCCCACCCTGTAATTTGTAAGTTTTCTTTGACAATCTTTTGGGATAATATTTTAGCCAATAGTGATCCAAATTTGAATTGTACCCGTGGTGTGATTGGCTGTTCTTCCTTATTCTTATATAATGGAGTTTTTATTACAGAACCTTCAAATTAGGGACTCAAAAGTTGTACTATACAGACTGTTAAATTGATACAATGTTTATTGTTACCTCCTCAATATGTGATTCACTAGTAACTGTTTAATACTGACTGATTTTTTTCTTACATAGAAACAAGAACGATCCCCATGTTGTAAAATTCTTTATTTTATCAGTTAAAAGGGTGAAAAAAATAAATAAATAAATAAATCTAATCCTGTGTTTGGTAAAAAATTTAGGATAATGCTTCTTGTTTTAAGGATAACTCAAAGCTTGAATTACCTTTTCTTCAAACAAATTAATCTCGTACAAATTAGAACGTTAACAACATTATACTCATTCAAGAAGAACCTTAAAATAGGTTTTATTTTTTTATTTTATTTTTTTTGTTTGGTTTGCCTTTGATCGTAAACTTGATCAAAATAATTTTCTATTACTTGAGAAGAGGTTGTTTGATTTCTTCCCACTTGTCCAAACGCTTCTTTGCATTCTCCACCTGCAAAAAATTTATGGCTTTTGGTTATTAATCCGATTTGACAGTGACACAACTCCCGTTAACATGTGGTGGCGTTTGCAACTGGCCTTTTCATGGTTGGTGGCCCTAGGGCTGCAAATAAGCCGAGCCGAGTCGAGTCGAGCATTGGCCTTATCGAGCAGGATTGACTTTTTCTTTTAGCTGCTCGAGCTCGATTTTTTAGACTCGAGCTCGACTCGATAAAAAATAACAATAGCTTGAGCTCAGCTCGAAAATTTTTAAGTGTAAATGTGAAATTACCATTAAGGACCTATGCTAACATATATAGAAGGGGTATTTTAGTAATTTAACATATAGATCGAGCCGCTCGACAAGGCCTCTAGCCGCTCGAGCTCGACTCAAGTTCGGTCAAGCTCGAACTCGAATCGAGCTTTGACTCGAGTGCTTGCGAGCCGATCGGTTCGTTTGCAGCTCTAGGTGGTCCTCTCCATTTGATGTACTTTTGTTTGGACTTGTTGGTTAGATTAATGAATCATAAAAGTGGTGAAAGAAATTGGACGAACAAAGGAGGAATTGTACCTTTATTTGGATTTTTTTGAGTCAGATTTTCATAGAAGTGGTGAAAGACATTGGAAGAATTAAGGAAGTATAACATTTGTTTTTCCTACATCATTTTCTGTTAAACAATAACATGCATTTAAATTACAGAAAATGATATAAATTAAAAAAAAAAAGGCCATACCTCTTTATCCCAATCCGTACGAAATGTAACCCATAGTAAGATGAGAGTTTGCATGGCGGTTCCTCCTATCATGCCTGACCAAATTCCCTATTCATTTAAAAAAAATCAAAAAATAAACACCATGACCTAATTTAACTATGATTTATGGGGTCTAAACTATATGTTTATTTAAAATATTTAAAAAAGATTGTTATAGAGCTGTATATTTTTTTACTCACCTTGACTCCAAGGTTGAAATAAAATCCAAGAAGACATCCAACTGGGATACCGATCACATAGTAACAGCCCACATTTACATATGCCACAAATGCTTGCCATCCACAGCCCACAGCCACTCCTTTATACAGTACAAAGGTTAATAAGAACAAAATGAAAATAAAAATAAAAATAAAAATTAAAATTCTAACATTTGCAGATCAGACTTGTATCTGTGCATTTATATTTTCTACATAAATCCACCAATAAAATATCAATGTTATTTATTAGATGAACTCAACTTACTAACTGCACAATGATCTCTGCATAAGTAATGAGAAAATTTCATGTAACCCTTCTCCAAATCAAATTATTTTAATTTGTTAGAATATCAAATGAGTTGTCTCGTATCGTTTATATAGAGAAAATATGCATAATTTATAAGTCTAGTGGGCTAATCATCTTTCCACCAATTGGTTTTAAGATGGAACCTTGCTTGGACTTTATATGGGCTTTCTCTGTTATAGAACGTTTCAAGTGCTGGGACCGTACTCGTTTTTTCCCTGTTTCTTACATAATTAATTAAGGAACACAAATGTGACTTGTAATTCTATATAATTTCTTAGGGAAATGCTACAATCTCGTTACGGTACCATCTGTTGGGTGTTTTAACCGTTGCATGATCCACATGTAATTAGATAAAATAGATGATCCAACGGTTAAAACACCCGACAGGATGATATCGTAAAGTACTGTAGCATTTTCTAATTTCTTAAGTAAGTTGGATCACATATGTTTAAATCATCCATTAACTCACATGGCACATGATGCAATAACTAATAAGGACAAATGTTTTCCACACCCCCTCCCATTTTGTCAATCATATTCCTACTCTCCCAACTAAATTGATTGGCACACATGATTATAAAGGCTGCCAAAAAAACTAAATTCCAAATCAAGTGATTCAAAATCAAAATCAAAATTTTAAAAATTGTTCAAGTTGATGATCAGCAAAAGTTAAAAAAGTTTTGGGAGGTTTTACCGGATAACACCGGCTGAACGCCGTTTAGGATGAGTGTGACGGCCAAGAAGGGGCAAAGATCGGCTACGGCGTGGGCCACCGTCTCGCCACCTGTGAATATGTAACTGATGACGTGGCGCTGACTCAGCACGATGGCTGCCTCGATGGCCGCCACTATGAAGGAGACAACCGTCACCACCAACACCGAGAAAGCCGCACCCTTCGGGTGCCCGGCTCCTATCTCGTTGCTCACTCTCACGCTGGAAAAAAAAACATTTTTTTTTTTGAAAATATTACAATAATCCTAAACATAAATTTAATATTACAATAAAATTTATTGAAATTTTATTTGGAATACTAATGATTCTAAAATAATATGTAAATATAAATGAACTTATTAACCTAGCAGCGGCATTGAATCCGACTGCGATCATGAACATTAGCCCGCTCACCGACATGCTGCAAAATAAATGAAAGTAAAATATATATTAATAAACAGATTAGACCTCCAATCAAAATGCTACGGTCCCGCTACGGAACTATTCCGTCGTCGGGGTTTCTAACTGTTGATCATCATGTAACCATCGGGGATAGTTGATCTAACGACTACAAATTTCGACGGAATAGTTATGTAGCGAGACCGTAGCATCTCCCTACTATATATAGTAGAAAATCCCAACTGAATAAATAAATAGATAAACTTTAGAGAGGAATGGATGTCTAAACAAAAAAATATATAGACTTTAGATAGGTTTTATAACTAATATGAATGAATTTAAATTAATAATCATATTCGAAAAAAATACAAGCATAACATGATACTTCATAATATAAATATGAATTTTTTGTGAAAACTAATATAAAAATTTGGGCACCTCATATAAAAATCATTAAATTAACCACATGCATGCTTATCTTAATGAAATATGATATTGTAAAATGATAGAAGCAAAATATAGTATTTCAGTTTTTAAGTATGACTATTCGTTAAAACAAATATGATAATTCGGACACCTCATATAATTAAAAATCACAACTCTTACTATTAGACTACCTAATCATTACACAACTATAAGTATTACTAAAAATGTTTATTTTATTTGTATTATATTTAAAATAATAACATTAAGTGTAAAAGTATATATATATATATATATATATATATATATATATATATATATATATTTATATATATTCCCACACATATGAAAAAGTATAACTGTTTAACTATTATATATGGACATAACTACAATATCAACATATAGACATTTGTGGAATACTTAGTGCATGCTTGGATATAAGTTTTTATCCAATAAATTCAATCACAGTTCAAATTTAACTCAATCAAATTCTTCTGAATATTATCAATATAATTAAATAATATTAATCAATTACTTCACACATTACATCAATTTTAATTTATCAAAAATTGATCAACTCAGACGATTTTATTTAATCATCACTTCTAATCACACCTCTCATACTTTTTACAATAAATTAATTTTAATTATTTTATTTTAATTATTATAATACAAATTAAAAATCTACTAAAACTTAACCCAAACAACTTTTTTAAAATTAATTTTGATTAACTAAAAAATCCAATAAAAAAAAATAAATTCATCTTCAAGCAACTCTTAATGTGTGAATGTAGTACATGGTTAATTAGTGGCAACTGGCAAGTACTTTATTATCGCTATTGTCTTTTCACACATTAATTATCTGAAATTAATAGTTGCCCCCACATAAATATAATAAAAGGGGACCTGATTAAGGCAGTCATGTCATTTCGCGCATTAATCATATTAACTCAAAATAATTAAACACAGCGAAAATGCTACAGTTCCGTTACGAAATCATTCCATCGGGATTTGTAACCGTTAGATCATCATGTAACCGTCATAGATAGTTGATCTAACGGTTATAAATCCCGACAAATGCTTCCGAAACTGTAGCATTTTTCTTTTATTTAATATAATAAAAACTCACTCACCAGACGGCAAGCGCATCGAGGGAGAGCTCAGGGTTTTCCAGCAGGCCCGCAATGAGGACTAGTACCTGAAAGTACCACGTCTCCAAGCACAGCATCACCGCTGACGCAATCGACAGCTTGACGAACCCCCACAGCCCCGTCAGCGCCTCCCACTTGAACCCCGTCCACGTGTCCCTGCACCTGGGGCTCCTCACGATGTACACGAACTGGGCCGTCACGATAACCCACCACGACAGGCTCAGCACCAAGGACGCCCCCACCAGGCCCATACCCATCCTGTACACCGCGGCCCAGCTCACCACCAGGTGGACCCCCAGCGCCGCGAGTGATATCAACGCGCTCGGCCCCACGATGCTCTGCGCCTGCAGAAACTTCTGGATCGGGAAGTTGACCGCGTACGCTAGCACCTGCGGGATCAGGCCGTAGACGAACACCGCCGCCAGCGCCGCCACGTGCTCCGCCTCGCCTATCAGGAGGAGCAGCTGCCGGGAGAGGAGGTAGACGGCCACAATCGGGAGGCTGAAGAGGAGGAGCACCACCGTGGCCCGCTGCAGGTACACGCCAAGCATCTCGTACCGCCGCGCACCGTACGCCTGCCCGCACAGCGTCTCCACCGCGCTGCCCATTCCAAGCTGGGCCAATAAACGTTTCGCGTTAAAATTTTTATTTTTCTTGAATTTTCAATTATTATGATTTGATTGCTTACAAGGAGGCCGTAGGCGAAGAGCTGGATGCCCTGGTTGCCGAGGCAGGCGGCGGCGAACTGGAGGTTTCCGAGGTGGCCGGAGAATATCCGGGTGGCGAGGGACATGGCGTTGTTTATCATGTACATCATCACCGCCGGGGCCGCCAGCCAGAAGAGGAGGTTCAGCTCGATCCACGTGGCCGTCCGGAGACGCTTCGCGCGGGGCACGTTTGTGTCGGAGAGAACCTTCTCCAGGAGGGAGCTGGTGTGAGCGGTGGCGGCCGGCGGCGGTGGGGTCTCCGGCGAGTGGAGAAGGGGCTGTGGGTTGGTATAGTCGGCTGATTGCGCCATGTCAGCCTATGTGTGTGTGTGTGTGTGTTGGGGTAATGAATGAGAGAAGAGCGCCGTGTGCGGTGGTTTAGTAGTAGTAGTCTTAATTTATAAGATGGGGCAGCCGAATAAGCCAAAGTCTGTTCCGCATCGTCCAAATAACACTTTTAAATTGTGTCAAATAATTTTACAATTTTCAGCTTAACCAGTGGTCTCGAGTTCGAGCCTTGGGAATGCAGCAGTGTTAAAAACTTTTGAGGGAGAGCTTTGCCGCCCTTGTGGTCCTACCCGGCTCGATTCTGGATTAATCGATTCCCCTGTGGATCCAGAAACCGGAAGATCCCTGTACAAAAAAAAAAAAAATTACAATTTAATTACTTTTTTGTCCCTTTAGGATAATGGTGTTACGTGACTTGTTTTTATCCGACATGATCACCTATCGTGGCAGTTAAATAGGAATTTAATAATTCCAATATTGGATTTTTTTACAAAAAAAAAAATCAAATCTTAAGTTGCAGACAAAAAAGTGAATGGAAAAGGGGGAGTGGAAAGATATAAAAAGCACCTATAAATACGTTTTCTATATTTTTTAATTGTAAAACGTATTTTGTGAATATATTTTCTTTTGTAAAAAAATGTGAAAAATATATTTAGTGAATACGTTTTTTTATCTAAAGTATACTGAAAATGTATTTTGTAAATACGTGTTTTTTATATTGGTCCACTACCCCCTTTTTTTTGTTTTTTGTCCACTTATTATTTTTTTATAAATAAATACTAGTCGTCTTATGGCCGTGCACGCACGGCCGACTCCAATTTAGTCTAAAATTTATTGAAAATTCGTCGTCCCTTGAAATGATATGCTTAACACAGTGCCCTAAATTTCCAGCTATATATCATGTTTGAACAGGTCATTGGAATCTATAAATATTATTTTAAACATTGTTATCGAATTTGATACAAATAATGTTTTTGTTGAAAAATTTTGACAAAGTTCTATGTAGAAATTACAACAAAAGCTTTGTCTGGATGATCAATCCTCTCCAAATCTCTCCAATTTCCACCGTGCTGCAATTTCATTTCAGTATGTAAGACTTAAATACAAATCACTAATAAAACATGAAGTGAACCTTTTGATGTTGTAAAACATCACCTCTTTTGTATCAGTCCTTTCAAATAACACCACTCTTCCACCACGGTCACATGTAGCTAGATGATCACCAGATTTGTCAAACTCAATTGCAGAGATTATATCAATTGCAAAGAAGAAAAAATGCATAAGCGTACATCCTCACAGTTATATACGGTATCTTCTTAACTTCAATATATGTGAAAATATACAGTACAGAATAGTAACCTGACATTTTCAGTTAGCTTAAACGAAGTTAATACATCCAATATCAACATTTCCATCAAACATTGAGAATTAAACTATTCAGGTAATAAACTATCTACATAAGTCCAACAGTTAGTCACAGTTAGCACTTAACTACAATTCCACAGCCACATCTTGACATGCTACTACGTCTTTTCCCTCTTAGAGAGCATGCTCATCTTCGACCATCCTCAGTGTGCAGTTTATACTTGTTACACATACTAAATTTTCACAAGAACCTAAGTAGTGCAACACAATTGCTGCAAATCGAACAGCACAAGGGCGACCGACAGATGCAATAACAGGCAGAAATGGATGATATTTCTTTGACATGTAATATTTTCCTATATATCCATTTTACGCAACACACGGTTCAGATAGCAAACTCTACCTAAACATATCATAATAATCCAATCATCATGCAAGAATAAGTTTTTAGTTAACTGCACAATATCAACTCCTGCAATGTGGCGACCACGGCTAACAAAGGATATTCACACAAAAATTCTAAATGAGCAGCCCACCAAAATAAATAAAGATACAAACATACTAAATACACAAAAAACAATGTCGAAGATGAGTAGGTGTAGCTCCCTGTAAAGAACAAAGTAATATGGGATAATGGAGGAGCCTAAATTAACATTGTTAGAGAAAGATGATATAGTTATCTGCCTAAATATATATCAAATATGTATCTCACAAAGCAACTACCAAGGAAGGTCAATATGAAATGGTATGTTGGCTCACCATGCTAACAGCTCATGTCTTGTAATGTTCCCAATCTTATTTTCTAGCTTGAGGAATTCACAAAACCTCCATCAAAATAATCATAGTTCATGCACAAAAGAGTGATCCGCCATGTGATTCTAAAGGATAACATGTGTTTGGTGGGGTTGAGATGTTTAATGTGAAAAATGATGATTTCCGCACAAGGAAAAAAAATAGAATAAGTCAAAATATGAAGAGAATAGCAGACAATATGTAAAGTTCCACCCTTGAGGTTTCTAAATGAGTTACTTTGTTTGGTGAGCAGAAAAATCTCAACAGATGCCAAACAAAAAAATATAGGAGTTTATGAACATGTGTTTCAAATAACTACAGGTAAATCAAGTACCATGATGATTACTATAGAATTTGCTATCATCCTCAACTGGCAGTGAAAACCATTTTCAAAGATTAACAAAACCCATGAAGTTTCAGACATCTAAGTCATAAAAGTAATTTAATACATCTCAAATAAGAAAATAGAAAATGATATGGTTAAAGGTCATAACATGATTGAAGGATCACAGAATTGAAATAAACAGACCTCTATTCCTTATATATGTGTCGACTTGCACAACATTCACATCCGAGTAAGTTTAATATCATTTTTCACAAACGTGATAACATGGAATGTCACGGACGAACTCCGCACTTTAGGAGGCACCGACTGAAGGCCACCTCCTTCCAACAGAACCGCTTTATCATCTTCTTGGACTACTTCCCCCAACTCAACCAAATTAATATCAGAGTTCCTGCCTCTGAAATGCAAGAGATTCTAAAGGCACAACTCAATACTCATGGTCAGAAAATAAAAGGTAAACATGATCTTCGGAGGTACAATCATTCAACTATTCTCCTCCTGTTTATATAATAATTCTGAACTCAGTGAAACGTAATCAGCAGGTCCTTAACTTCACCCAGGGTTGAAACAACGTCGTGTACCTGCTGATTACGTTTCACCGTACATAGTGACTCATCTGCAAAAAATCAGACGAACCTTAAAAATCACCTTTGAAAAAGAAGAAGGAAAATAAAAAGATTAAGACGAATAAGAGAATGTGATATACTACACTAATAAGCAACCAACAGGTTATAATATCAATTTTCTCTTTCTATCTTTAGGAATAAAAGTACCTGAATCGTCTTCAAGCCCACTTCTCTCTTCGAAGTCTAGCTGTGCCGCCGTTCGGGTTCTATCCGCCACGACAACCGTCGCTGGTGGTGTTTAATTGTGCCTGCTCTGAGAAAGAAAATAAAAAGATTGGATTTGGAGTAGAAATAGTAAATACTTGTCATTTCTTGACCGATGATGCAGGAAACAAAATCTCTTTAATGGCGTCGAGTCCCTCTTTGCAGATTTTAAGAGCTAAGAAGAAAAAGGTGTTCTCTAATTTCACACACAAATGTTCCTGGAGACCAAACACTGCTTGCCACAGTTGAATGCAGGGTCGACACATGTTTCATCGTTGCTGGAGTTGGTTTCCCTTTCCTCCCGAGACGCCATCTCCGCGTGACGGGTAAAAATGAAAGCAAGGTGAATACAGAATCAAGAGAAACTAAGATCACAATTTGACACACTACATTATATTACTCAAAACCAGCTAGGGGTTTTATTAATAAACAATGATTGCTCTTGCTCTTAGGTTTTTCATAATCAGTCTTCGCACATGCACAAAATGCAATTTCAGAAAACGCACAAGTAAAGCATAGAGAATTACCTGAGCTTCAGGTCCACAATGTTTCCAGTCACATTCGTTCCTGCCATTTATCTCCTTCATAAGTCTCTCATTCATACAATAATCGTCATTCTTACGTTCATTGGGCTCAACCTATTACCAAAATATATAAAATCTAAATACCTCAGACCCAAAAAAATATGAAATATAAAAGCATAGCCATCATGTCCTTAGCTTCGACTGGCTAATCGTGAACTGGTTCGTACACGACCTCTCCAGACACTCCATGTAGTATTGTCGTTGCCATCGCCCAATATCGCCAGTTGTCGCCGCTCACGAGCGCGGTGAGCCGATCTCGGTCGCTGTAATCAGTTTTGTGGTATATCAATTGAGAGGAAAATCAGGTGAAGAAAGGTAGAGGAGCGCGGTCCGCCAATCTACCTTTGAGGAAAATCTGTATGACAGATAATACAACACAAATGATCTTTTAACTTCAATAGTTGGATTTAAGGATGCGTCAATAATATTGATGTTCATTGGATTCTTATAAAGAGGCTGTGTTATTTTACTCGATTTTGCACGTGTCCTCATTGGTCAGTACAGTTCATCTACAATTAGCCGATTAGCCGCCTTCTCCATCTCCAAAATCGCGGTCGAGAAGTCCTTCTTCCCACTTTTTCTGTTCAGAGTAAGAAAAAAGATTCAGATTGCCAGAGTCGATCACCTGAACCAAATAACAAAGACAAAAAAGAGATAAAGCGAGGGAAAAAATTAAGAAAAACAGAATTGCGTCAACGGTGAAATGACTGAGATATAAGAAAGGGAGAAATTACGAATCGACCAATTTATCGGCAATATAGATGGAATTTTTCGCATTTCTCTCATTGGGTTTGTCGCTCTTGCTCTTTCATCTTCCTCATTAGATGCCGATGCATCCGTAAATATGTTACCTGCTTCCTTTCGCATTATGTTAGTTAGAGGTACTGCTGTATTCACCATTAAATTTACAAAACTGTATTCTGTTAGTTACATGTACTGCTGTATTCACCACAATCTGCAATACCCCAGAAAAATAAACATAATCTTTTTTATATTAAACTAACATGAATCATTTTAAACTGTATTCACCACAATCTGCAATACCCCAGAAAAATAAACATAATCTTTTTTATATTAAACTAACATGAATCATTTACAACTGTATTCACCATTGAATTTACAACAATTCTAAGCATAATATTTGCAATAACAATCCACCATTGAATAATCAAGCAAATAAGAACTTGATGGCCCAAAAAATCAATCATCCCCACATAGGGAAACCACCTCTGTACCCCTCGAGTCCATAGCCTCCATGCCGTTGAGGTTTGATCCGTCGGTCCATACGTGGGGGAAATTGCGCCATCCTTCAAGTCGAAGTAGTCAGGCCAGACGATGATAGAAAAATCATAGCGAAAAATGTATTTTTTTTTTAAAAAAAAAATGAATAGATTCTTGCATAAGAAATAAGCACGGCAGACGAAAGTGAAAACATGCACCACATATACTCATATTTACTTTATGTTTAGTCATTATAAACTTAAAATAGCAGGGAACTTGCAAATATGAAGCCACAGAGGCATTGCAAAAAAGAAAATTTAGTAAGTAATGAATCTCTTAATACAACCATACCAAGAGTTTAACAGCATCAAACTAACAAAGATCTCCAATTTCTGCAGAAGGGTTTCTGTACTTGCGCCTCCACCATCACTGCAGCGACGGTTGGTCCACTACATCCTCAGAGGCCCTCTCCTCCAATCTATGAAACGCAAAATCAAAAAACTCAAGCAGACACCTTAAATCCCACGACGAATCTCGAAATAAAGGAAGAAATAATATGCGATTGAATCAAAATAATTCCCTTAAAGAAATTAAAAAAAAATAGATAAAGGAAGAAAGATTGTGCCTAATAATTTAACCAAATTTGTAAAAGTACTAAGATTAGAAAAAGAACTCTTACCTAAGAAATAGCATGGACATCGGAACCTAAAACAGAAACAACATCCGAGGGGATCCAACAAATCGTAAAAACGAACAAAGCTAAAAACACCACCTCTCCCTCCGCTGATCGGAGTTGGGGTCCGGGGGCGTCGCCCAGCTCACTACAGACGATGCGTCATCGTGCTTCGCGAAGATTGGTGTATCGGTTGAGGACCTTGTGTGCGACCCATAGGTAAAACATCTCGTGGTCCTCTCGCGGGCGTTCTCGATGTAGAGCAGCGCAGGCGGGAGCACAATCGACGACGCGCCGCCGTTGGGCACCGATCTGGATTTCGATCTGAGAAACTCCTTGTCCATAGGGGACCAATCTTCACTCTAAGAGATGAAATGGTAAAGTTTGGGAGGTGTTTCAAGAAATAAGATCTGCCCTTTTGTCTTTAAGAAATCTTCATTGATATCGTACATAAATCACATTAGGTAGGATTTTGATGAAGTACAGATTCAACAGATATCCCGGGAAAAAGCCACCAAAGAACGTGCGTTGGTCTGTGGCGTGTAGCAGCACCAATTGGCAACATGAAATTATCTAACTAACCCACAAAAGCAGTCAAAATAAAGTGTAATTACGTCCACCAAAAAAGAAGTGGCATCATTTGTAACAACAATTCAAAGTTAGGGGTATTTTGGTCCGAAAAATGGACACGTGTCGGGCACACAACCCCTACAACATTTTCTTATATGTCAGAGGAAGATATAAATTACTCTTCCAATATTGTCTGGTGGAAAAAAAAAAAATTGACATCTCACTATCCTCCAGTCCTTCTATAGAGCCAATGGTTGGCTCCCTTATGGAGCCAATACCCAATTAAATTGCTCCATGTGAGGATGTCCCACATAGAGCCCATGTGGGACATCCCCCACATGGAGCAATTTAATTGGGTGTTGGCTCCTTAAGGGAGCCAACCATTGGCTCTATAGCATTATCGCACTATCCTCTCATTTTTATGTCAATCGCCCCTATTATTATGAATACTAATTCCCAAATCGGTCCGTCTCCTTCAATCGCGAGAAAAGTCGATGTCAAAAGAGATAAAATCAGCTTATTCATTCTCGTCTCCTTCAAATCTTGTTTGTTATTGTGGTTTGAGAACTCAACTACGCACGTCAAAGACTATCAAACCCTGGTAAGAAATTTCATAGATGCAATATGTTATGCAAATTATGTACAACGGATTAGGATAATCCCCTAAGTAAAGGATGACCTTACGTAGAAAATTATGGGAATTACAGTGTGATTATTGAATCAAGGTTGCAACAAATGTCATAGGAACAATGAGCAAAGATGAGAAATTCAATCAAACGAGGTCAGACTTCCTCGTTCTTATATATGAAATTGATATTACAGTGTTATGGTAAAAGTTGAATCTCTTTTCTTTGTACAATTATTGTGGGTATTTATACTATGAAACCCACGGACACGTTTGTCGAGATTGACATTTTACGGTTATGATTATTTGGTGCAGGATTGCCCAGGGGGTCCCATATCAGTCGATTGTTTGTCCATCGGGTAACTGTCACATGTCTTGTCTGCATTTAATGTTTTAATGGTATAGTTTCTGTTGGAATGATTCCAACGACTCTTTTTCCACTTCCTTCGAGCTTCTCATTCGATTCCAACGCTTCACGCTAGGGTGAGCGTGGGTCGGTACGGTTCGGAGATTGATAAATCTCTAGAACCGTACCAAACTTTGGAGATTCTAAAATTCGATCTCTGGAACCGTACCAAAAAGTCGGTTCGGTTAGGTTTGGAGATTTTTATTTTTCGGTTCCGTTCGGTATTCGAGACTATTGGGAAGGTTTGGTTCGGATCTTCGGAGATTTTTTTAAAATTATTTTTCAATGATTACCTAGTTATATTTTAATTTTTATATGTTTTTAAAAAAAAACAACATTCATCAATAATTCATCATATTGAAGATTTTACTTTGAAATCAATTTTAGAAGTAACTCTAAATTTTAGTTATTTAATATTTATATGCTTTAATAAAACCAACATTCATCAGTACTTCCTCACATTAAAGATTTTATTTTGAAATCAACTTTATAAGTAACTCTAAATTTTAGTTATAACTAAATTTGTGCAACTAATATTGAAAATTTAAAATTCAAATAAATATAATATTTTTTTTCTTAAAAAAAATATTCTTTAAAATTTAATATTATTTTAAATAATTATTTATAATAAAAAAATCCAATTGTAGATCAAGTATTACTAAGCATTAAATTTAAGTGAAGGTTAATATTTATTACTATATTATATAGAATCAAAGTTGACATAAAATATATTAATAACACATCTAATGTTATAATTCGGTTTTTAATTTTGGTTCTTCGGTTCGGTACAATACGAGACGATTCGGTTCGGTTCTCGGTACGAGTATTTGCGAAATCTCCAGAACCGTACCAATTATTTTTTTGGTTCGGTTCGGAGAAAGTCAAACGGTCAACGGTTATTTTTCGGTTCGGAGTGATTTCGATTTGGTTTACGAAACGGTTCGAAATTCTCCGAGTCCCATGCTCTGCCCTCTCTACCACAACTGTTTTTTACTGTAAGAATTTATGTTGAAATATGTAATTTTTGTTGGAATTTTTATTTTTAACCCCGTTGGAAAATCTAACGTTTGGAAAACTCACTCCAATAGAATATATTTTTGTTGGAATTTCCGTTGGAACCCAATGAAAAATTTCAACAGAAATAATAACGGTGGAATATCTATTGTAATTGCCATTGGAATTCTATGAAATATACATCGGTTGGAATTTCATCATTTTCTTGTAGTGGCTTAAAGCATGTGCTATATTTATGTTTAACAATTGTTAATATAAAAAAAGATCTATTAAAGTATAATAGTTTTGGTAGTAAATCAATCGATAGGTTTAAATAAATAAAAGATATAATATAATTTATTTTGAAAAAAAAAAAAATTGATAACCAAATAGTATAAAAAAATAAGATATCAAAGATGTTCGCCCCATTAAATTGCACAAGGCAAACCATGTACAGATCACTGGTAATTAAGTGGACAAAATATCATACAATTGATTACATAATTTTTCATTCACTCATCTTCCAGAAAGTAGTACTGTGGTCTTATTATCATCACTGCCTGCCAACAACAATTGAGTAGAAATGCTTGGGCATAACATGGCATCCAAACCTTGATGAAGGCTGAATATTTCTTTTGTTTTTTTTTGGTTATCCATTAATCATAAGTTTTTGCAGCATCACCTTTTCTAGCTGCTCACTTGAGAAGAGGTTGTTTGATTTCTTCCCACTTGTCCAGACGCTTCTTTGCATTCTCGACCTGCGAAATTCGTGCACCATTTAATTCTTGTGGCTCTGTTTTAAAGTATACATTTGCACGATCACACACTCTATGGAACACTGTTTTTATCGTACCCGTACGTAGTGATTAGAAAATGAAAGTGCATACCTCTTTGTTCCAATCCGTACGAAATGTAACCCAGAGCAATATGAGTGTTTGCATAGCCGTTCCTCCGATCATGCCGGACCAAATTCCCTAGTAAACAACAATAAATTAATATCATCAGCCCTCAAAAGATGTTACCTGTACATATTTCATTCAACATCATTTGGTTTCTCAAATAAAATATGCATGCAAATGAACTTTTGGTCAGTGTACAATATGCTGTAAGCACAAAAGTATTTGCATTTACATACCTTGACGCCAAGGTTGAATTTAAATCCAAGAAGGCATCCAAGAGGAATTCCAACGACATAGTAACAACCTATGTTTACGTAAGCCACAAACTCTTGCCATCCGCAGCCCACAGCCACCCCTTCATCATGATAAATTTTAGAAATCAATTACAATTCAAGAAAAATGATTAAACTGAAATACTCATATTGTAGAGCTGCTCAGTAAATCTCTTCTTCTGTCCACATGGCACATGTTAATATGTTCATTAGCAGGAAATTAGCATTCACTAGTTAATGTGACATGAGTTTAACACGATGTTCAAATGGCTAACTCTTGAGCATTAAAACATGAACAATTTTAATGAGGCTTTCTCTCTAGATCTGATTTAGATCTACTAGAGTTTAAATTTTTAATGTCTTACAAATTAATTTACTCCGCATAACTCGCAAGTTCAGATTTTGTACAATAATCAACGGGAAAATGCTACGACCCCGTTATGGAACCATTCTGTCGGGGAAATGCTACGATCCCGTTATGAAACCCCGACGCCGTTAGATCAACTATCAATTATCCCGACGGTTACATGATGATCTAACGGTTACAAACTCCCCGACGGAATGGTTCCGTAACGGGATTGTAGCATCTCCAATAATTAACGACAAACATTATGGGTGGACAAAAACAGAAAATTTACATTATCACCTTTTGTAGAAAATTTACAGAAAAATTTTTGTACCGAAAAAAAAAAAAAAAACAGAAAATTATGCTGCGAACATGCACAAGATTGATTTACATTATCACCTTTATTCTTTACTACAGAAAAGGCTAAAAAGCAAAAGACACACTCATTGATCAAAACCAGACAAACAAATAAATATTTTAATTATAATTACTAGAAAATCCAAAAGCCGTGAGAATTTGACTTTGGCAGCAAATGCAAGCATTCAACTGGGGACCTAAAAATTATTGTGGGAAGGACAAAAGAATTGAATTTATCTTAATTTATTACCGGACAAGACGGGCTGGATTCCGTTTAGCAGGAGGGTGACTGCCAGCAGCGGACAGAGGTCGGACACGACGTTTGCCACCGTCTCGCCTCCGGTGAATATGTAGCTGATGACGTGGCGCTGGTATAGAACGACGGCGGCCGCCACCGCCGCCACTATGAAGGAGACGAGAGTCACGATCACCACCGAGAAAGCCGCCGACTTGGGGTGGCCCGCCCCGGTCTCATTCCCCACCCTCACGCTGCCAATTTACGCAATTTGATTTTGGAAAATAAAAAATAAAAAATTACTGACTAGTAAATATATAATCATTTTATTTGTACTAAATAATATCCCGATCTTTAATCTAAATAGCTATGAGAATGTACATGAGATCATTAGATGGATTAGTAAGTATAAGTTATAAACAATAAATCTCTCTGGATTTGTAACTGTTAGATCATTATGTAACCGTCGTGGATAGTTGATCTAACGTTATAAACCCGACGTAATGATTCCGTAATGGGACCGTAGAATTTCCCGATAATGTAAAAACTAAAAATTAGAGGTCTATACTTGGAAGAAGAGTGAGGCAAACCAACCTAGCTGCAGCATTGAACCCCACCGATACCATGAACATTAGGTCACTCAGCGACATACTGTAATAAAACATAATAATACCAACACAATTAGACACTCGTACGTGAAGAAATTGCAGGGCCCAAACCAAAATGAGTGTGACTCATATTCAAAAAACACAGGATCTAAAAAATTGGCAAAATTATATTTTTTGTCATGTCTGGGTATATCAATTTGAAGCACGGTCAAATTTAATTTACTATTTTTTTTTAAAAGACATAAAAATTTACACTAATATGACATATTGGATAAAATTAGTTGATTTTTTTTTCCTAATTAACTATGGCGTAGTCCGACTTTCGTATTATTGACCCACTATTATCTTTGTCTAGTCGAGGCGATTATATCTACAAATATTTAACGCAAATGGAATTCATATTCGACGCAATTTTTCGTCCAAAATAATTCTAGGCATTCTTTAAACCAATTTATCGTATTAAAATGAAATTTTGCCCAAAAATTACCAATCGATCATTGCTTTACGTTTATGGTAATTACCTATGGCCTTTATAATTACAATCCCCATAAAGATTTCTAAATATAAAAAGAATCTCAATTTGTAATTTTTATTTTTATAAATTTTTGTATGAAACACTTAATAATTTGATATATCGACCCATTATACAATTTTTAAAAAGATACATATTTATACTATAAAATA